TCACCAGATATCATGCTATCGGTGGCCTGATCTGCAGCAATGAGAGTCCAATGTTTCCTCATGTCGACACAATAAATTACGTGCTCTCGGCCAATAATAAACAATCCTTTCCTACGCTATATTAGCTAGACTTAAGGACTTTCCGCAACCGACTCGTTTGCTTACGCCAGTCGATACACATTTTAGGCTTAAACTATTAGAATGGCGGCCCCCACCGCGTCGGTAAAGAAAAGTTGTCCACGGTAGAGGTCGATACATTCGCATTTTAAGTCACTTTCAAGGGTTTATTTATGTATTATAAATAATGTAGTCTAATTTGTTAATTATTATTTATAATACAAAGGGACCTAGTTGAGAGGTTAGTTTTCTATAGATTGTTGTCGCAGCATACCGATAATCGATCGAGTGGTGCTCAACCTTAGGCATTCCGTCACCTTCGGGTCGAACAGCTGCCGGCATTGTCGCCTCCGCGCCAGTAGGAAGCGACACGGTCGCAGATCGCTATTGGGCTTAAGGCCGTTATTCAATGCACCATCTTTTACCTTGTGCCCCTTACTCTGCCGCATGACCCGAAACAGCCGCCACTGGCCGCAATACTTAAATGAAAGAATACAAGCGCACGAGTCACTTTTTATGAAATATCTAGAGCTAGAGTTCGCTAAGGCCTAAAGTATAAACACAATACTTATTACATCGATAAATTTTTAAATTTTTAGAATGCTTGTAATGACAAACCTCTCACTATCGTTTTATGCTAATGTGATAAATTATTTCTTTCATTGCATCTGTTTTATGTGCTTTAGGTTCTTTGATAAGGGCTTATTAGACTAAAAAGTTATTAATTGGCCTGTAGTTAAAAATCTAAATTAACTTAATTATTTTTAAACGCCATTCATTCTCCATGTAGGTCAAATGCTTTGCGATGTCAAATTTGACCCCGTTTTGTTTTCACATCAACTTGACAATAATTGTACGTAGAAACATGGTAATTTCTCTTGCTAACATAACTATCTTTTAAATTATAAACTCGTATCTTTAGACTACGTTTATTTCTTACATAGTGAGCGCGTATTCGCTTAAAATCCGAGCGTACGGGTCTCAGCATATGGTGATTAACGCATTGTTAAGACGTAGAAAAGTAGAACGGGGGCGTCGAATTCAAGGCCTAGGACGTAGCTGTACAAATTCGTTAATATTTAGCACAAACTAAATATTTGGCAATAAGGTAAACATGTATTACGATATTACACATACAAAACTTTTTAATATATAACGTTATTCGGTATAATTATGGCGCTGCCAGATTATCAGTGTTAATTAAATACATTTCTTAATTACAAAACAGATCGAAAATATCAAAGCTTTCAATATATTATTTGGACGCATTGAGATAATTTACACCTTTTGAAATGTACAATTTTGGCAGCGACCTGCCGTATTTAATTTGAAGCAGGAAACGTGCGATTGAAGGTGAGTCAAGTGTGGACTCATCCGTTTATTTGACAAAGGAATTGCAGGAGGTTTTATATTACACGTTAATTGTATACGAAGACACGTCCTCTTTAGTGTGTGCGCGGCCTCAACCGAGTTTTGTAGATGCTTTCTCGATCGCGAACCGGGTCGCGTTCTCCATGCCAACGCCGAACAACTCGGCTTGCCACACTCACATGAACATAACTTTGAATTATAGAAAATAGCTAAACCCCCCTCAAGTACGGATAACAGATGGATTAATGCTTGTATGATCTAATATGCTTAAGTATCTAAGTGAGTTTCTTGTTTGTTTTGCAAGTTGTTGCGTTTTAACACTTTTGATCTAATTTTGTTGTCGTTGTTCTATTTTTCAATATAAATTTTCATAGAAAGCAATTTAATGTAAATATCTTGTTGGCCCTTCGATTATACCAGTAGCAGTAATTTATTAATGTAAAAGTAATGGTCGATTCTGTACTTCAATAACTTTGACCACAACAGTCAGTTTAAATAAATAATTAATAAATTGTCTTGCACTGTGCGCGGCGATGAACACCTACGTATGTGTACATACATACACATCAAAGATGTGTCAGGGCTAGTAAATATTTTAAAAAGTCAGTTACTCTCAAAATGATTCGTAGCTATTGTGTAACCGATGTATTATGTAAAGACTAAAAAGCGTTTATTTCAAGAAAAAAATTACAAATGTCGTATATTAATGGCTTAACTTCTGAAAAATCTGAAACAAGCATGCGATTATAACACATAAATACTAATTTCTTAAAAGTAATAATAACATTTAATCAAACATAACAAAACATGTTAAATGCTATACGGAAGTTTACTTTACATAATATAACACTTTAGGCGGACTGTGACCATCGGATTTACAGATACAATTAACAAAGATGATTATGACGTGCCTCGAAGTTTTACAGAAAGTTAGTTCATACGTTTTATATTAGGCTGAAGTCAGGGCCTCGGCCGAGCGTGAAGCGATCGTCATCGCGCTGACAAGGCAATAAACATTGAGGCCGGCCGCCTGCAACCTTTTCATTGACTGTTCCTCTAACTGATTCGTGAAATTTTAATATAATGTTGATTGAAATTTTTTCAATTCGTTCACGGACATCAATATTAGTCTCGAAGTTCCGTTTGCATATTCATGGTGTAACAACGTGGACCGCGCTGCAGTAGGGCCGAGGTGGCACAGTTTCTTGTTTCTGTTATAAATCAATGTGTCCCAGTTAGATTAATGTCTATGCGGCGTTACACAGCTATCGACGTGTGTGCTTTCCATTGGCCACATTGCCAAATGTTGTCGGTTCGTTGCGTGGCCCATGTTGCGGATTGTACGTATGCGTACATACACAGGTCGGCGGCATGGCCGCTTGCGAGTTGCGACCGCACCTCACGTGTCACTGGAATGTTGCATAATACACTCGCAAACTCTTGCTCTTTGTATTTAAAACATGTTAAGTGTGAACGTAACAATTTCAAAATCCCGTTGACAACTGGTGCATCTTTCGTGTTGGCACAGGCCAGAGTTTGTTTTCATAGATGTGACGCGTTTTAGTTCTGATATGAAAAATTATTTTATGTAACATGATTTCGCCATAATTTTTAAATGGTGACGACGATGGCTCATTTGAAATCTATGTTACTGTTTAAACTAAACATTATGAAAATTTTAGATTAAAATTGATATAATAAAACGAATACATATATGCTGATGTATGAATGTGGAAGAACCTGAAAGAGTACTTCTAGCAGAGTACATTTTTGTTTATAACCTTGGATGAAGTGTAAAGCACGGACGTCGCCAGGGAGAGGAGCTGATCATCCTAAATACCAAAAATATGTATTCATAAAACAACTGTGAATAAGACCATAATGATGGTAACTGCCACTCCTCCTCCTACCTAGCCTAAATCATCGGCTGGGG